TTAATTCTCCTTATAAGAGTTATTTGTTTATTATTAGAGGTGAACAGTTTTCTATAATGTAATAAATACAAAATAACTAGTTTTTGTCTATGATGTAACAATATATACAACTTTATAAGCTATCAAGCTATCAAATATGTTTTGCGGCTCCAGACAAAAAAAAGGGGGCAAAATGGCTCTTTTGGTCAAAAAGGTTGCAGCCCCCTGAACTAACCTAATACAGTTATGTGAAATCTATTGCCAGAATAAATTTAATTAAAGTCAAGGTTTCATATTTTTCCGTGTGCCATTTTATTTTGAAATGTAACAACTTAGAATGCACTGAAAATAAATGTTAAACGTTGACTTACACATAATTGTATTAGGTTAGTTGAAAGCAATAATATGAAGTTAAAATACAAAATAATAGGTTCAACTTAATACTATTGCTTTCAACTAACCTAATACAATTATGTGGAACCTGTTGACATAATACATTTAATTATAGTCAATGTTTACATTTTTCAGTGTAGGTTTTTTTCACTGCACACTGTCACCATGATATATAGGGACTATTTCTTCAGATAAAAACAGTTCACAGTGAAGTCTGAGGATTATCAAGGACATCATTTTGGAGTTGTTGTTGTTGTTGATTACATCAGCAGGGAAATATCTGATCAAATTAAAACTGTCTGCATGACTTGCTACCACAAATTCAAAGCGAGAATTGCAATTTGGGTGAACTGACCCTTTAAAAATCAGCTGATCCCGGACCAGTTTAACAACTCCTCTATTCTCCCCAAGTTAAATTCCTTTAAGTTGCACATCATGGGGATGCTTTCCTCACCCAGTTCTCATTAAGAAAACACGTCATCAGGACTACTCTCTGATTGTGTGTGTGTGTGTGTGTGTGTGTGTGTGTGTGTGTGTGTGTGTGTGTGTGTGTGTGTGTGTGTGTGTGTGTGTGTGTGTGTGTGTGTGTGTGTGTGTGTGTGTGTGTGTGTGTGTGTGTGCCGCTGCATTCATACAAGGAGTGTGTGTTTCACGGGGCCCTGGCGCCTGCTTTCAAAGGATTCATTAAAAGCAGTGAAAGGCTTGATCTGCGGTTTGGGTGGATGTACTGAGCATGTCTGTGTGTGTCTGTGGTGGGATTTGTATGGCGAAAGAAAGAAGGAGGAGGAACTAAAAAGGGTGGAGAGACATAGGGGGAGATAGACAAAACAGCGAGAGAGGGAGAGAGGGGGAGAGTGTCACAGAGAAATGGGTTTACGTAAACTATGACCTCGTGTTATGAATGAAAACATCAATCAGTGGGTATGACTAATCGATTTTCCCACTCTTTCGCTCCTCTCCACAGGATACATAAGTAAAGAATTACATTTAATGGGATACGAGTAATCTGATTACAAAACAGTGGCATCTGTGGTGCATTAGTGACCGCAAAAACAAAGGGGAAACGTTGGATTTCTTCCATATTGCTCGCTAGATTTCCTCTAGCCACAAACGATTTCCTCTAGATGTGATCAATGATACCACTTGTTGTTGCTGTCAACACAAATTATGATGTGGGATTTTAATATCATTCACTGGGCATCGCAGTGGCAAAGGAAAGTGATTACCCAGTGGACTTTAAGCAAGTTACTGGTAATCTGTAATGGGTTTAACTTTGAAATTAACCTCCACTGCCCTGCTTCCTCCTGCTGCTGCTCCACCATCCACACACTCTTTCCGTGTGTGCCTGCAGTGTGCAAATGAAATCACGTCATGCTATAGGTTAATTAAAATGCAATTTCCCCGAGGCTTGCGCATACATTGGTGCCCTTACACGCACAAATATACATTTACTGTAACTGAAATCAGAGACCAGTCCATAGTGTATTCATTAGCAGTTAGCGCACCATGCTATACTGCAGATACGTGGCTCTAAATGAGCAGTAGGATTAACAGTTTTTAATTATCCGTCAGCCTCATTAAGTAGACAGAAGCTCTGGTGAGTTCTTCATTAGGAGCACATGATCTGCGACGTTATCAATAAGTTATCAGTAGCCAGCGCTCTCTATGATCGGCTACTCCCCTGTCTCCTCACCTGTCAAACTCTCACCGTGTGACTTGTGTGTGTGTGTGTGTGTGTGACCTTGTGTTGCAGCCGCCATCGATCGGGCTGGAGCTGTCAATCGATCAGTCTGCTCTGTGTGTGGAGATAAAGGTGTTTCTATCTCTGGACACTCCAGTTGCCAGGAGTACAGAAGAGAGGTGGGTAAAATAGGGACTGTGGTCCACATATGGCCCTCTGCTTGCATATTAGCGAGCCCGCAAAAGGGTTTTATGACTGTTTTCCACTTTACTGCAACGCAATAAAACTCAAGTTTAAGACAGATGTAAAAAAAGCACAAACGTGTTTATTGATGGAAGTTTTCCAGGGGGTGCTGGCTTTGTGCACCATAAGCAGTCGACTTGTTTTTTTCGACACACAACGTATGAGAAATATGAACCCTCGTCGATTTGAATATCGGATGAAATGCTAAATGTTAACATATATTAAGATGTAAAAAAATACAAAATAATAATAAATAAAAAAGGGAGAAGGGGTCGGATTAAATAAGTGTAAACTTCTTCCGACCCCTTTTCGGACGTGTAATTAGCTAAAGCTTTGTTGTTTATTGATATCAGACAATGATACTACAGATTATTCAATTATTAATTAAATGTTTCGTTTTGTTATTGCATTCATTTGTATAGTACTGTATCATGTCTGTATCACCTTTTGTTTCATTTGTATTTTCTTTGGTTTTACACGCTCGAAAAAAAAAAAATAAACTAAACTAAACTAAACTAAACTAAAGGAAAATACAAACTAGGGAAAGTCCCTTTAAACAACAGATCCTGTGTTGATAGTGTCCCGTAAATGTCTCGCAGTCATATTTGATTCTGCTGTTCAACATCTGTCCGTCATCGAAGCGGGTATCAGCAGGTATCAGATTGCATTCATTTTCTCCCCTACTTATCGTGCCAAAATTCCTGTATCATTGGGTTCCTGGGCACACATGCGGCAAGACACACACACACACACACACACACACACACACACACACACACACACACACACACACACACACACACACACACACACACACACACACACACACACACACACACACACACACACACACACACACACACACACACACACACACACACACACACACACACACACACACACACACACACACACACACACACACACACACACACACACACACACACACACACACACGCTATCTCACCTGCTCATATCTAATCTAGGTGAAATAGTTGTTGTTGATAATGATGCAGGGTGCAGGAGAAATATGCCCAGTGCCTCACCTCTCCTCTCAAACACACCGGGTGTAAGGACTGATAGCGCAAAAAACGAGCGTACCTGAAACCGGCAAACAAATATAGAACACAAAGAGGCATGAGGGACTTCACAGAGTTTCCAGAGATCTGATATTCTCTTTGTCTCTTTCCGTCTCGGTCCGTTCCTCCATCTCTGTCCCAGCTTCCTGCTCCTCCTGGCTTTACTCGCTCCATCGTTTTTTCTTCCACCCAAAGATGAAAAGCATTGAAAGAGCATTTGCACTCCTGAGTGAATAAAGCTCGCAGGTGCGTGGGAGGAGAGCTATGGGAATCCAGGTCTCTCTCTCTCTCTCTCTCTCTCTTTGTCTATTCTGCTCACTCTCTCACCCCTGGGGTGTTTTTACAGTGTTTGTACTGGAAACTTGTGAGAGTGCGAGTGTGTGTATACATCATTCTGAGTGTGTTTGCGTGCGTCGCTTCAATTGTGAACGCTAAATGCTCTTGAACTGTGTTTGAAAACAACCCACAGGTTTCGGTTGACTCGACCTTTACTCGCAGATTGCGGTGTTCGATACAAACGCTTGGCCTGGCTCGCCTTGATGACCTCATCAGGTCTTCCCACAGCCTAACTCCAAACAAACTCTCCGGATAAACCAAAACAAACTGTGCTTCGCCGTTTGTGGTCACTGCGAGCCTGGCAGTAACAATAAACAGGCCCCAGGCCAGAACAGCAGCAGAGCAGGACAAAGACATCGCAGTGAAACACACACACACACACACTCACACACACCCAAACACTTAGAAACAACCATTAAATACAAACGTTACCATACTTCACTGAACACAAAAGGCCACACAAGTCGCATAGGACAGAGACACACTGCAAGAAAGGACAAGAATGTAATTGGTGTTTAATTTGCTGTAAAAAGAGACCTGATTAGTGTTTATTTCAAGAAATGGGAACCAGGGGAAATAAAATAAAGCTAGTCAAATAACTCACAGTTACAACAAGGTCTAATTTGGAAGAAATACATTCAAACTAAATCAAATGTGAAACAGAAAACAGCCCTATTCAGAGCCATGGTCAGCTGGAATTCAATGCCGGTCCATGTTTTTCAGGAAAATTCCCAAGTACATTTAAAAATGTGCTTAAAAAAACGTTCTGTATTATGTAGTATAATTTAACTGTGGCTGGCATATGTAGTATATTTAACTAATTGTATTATATATGTTTGGTTTAATGATGGTTTTAATAGGATGATACTTTTAGTTTTCACTTCATACGGAATTGCATGAAATGATGTGGGGTTTGTTGCGTACGTTTGACTGTGTTTGTGCGGACCCTTGAAAGAATCGCTAATGCTCATGCTAGTGCGAATGGGGTTCCTCATAAAGAATAAGAATATATTTGTACTTAAGCCAAGGCTCGTATGGTCATTTTTTGCAGTGTACTGTATCCACCCATGGACCACCGGAATCACATGTAATTCTCAACCCTAATTACTCTAAACACTCCCGCCCAATCATCGCCCTCATCACTGAAATAAACAAACACATTCAGGCACAATCAGAAATCAGCCATGCAATCATAACAACCCACCCAACACACTGCATTAAAGCTCAACACACACCCATAAACACACACTTTCCATCCCCTAATCTCCATGGTAGCTCCCTCCACTCACCGATGATGAAGTAGTCCTGCATGCTCTTGAACTCGTGCCCCCACAGGTTGGGCGAGAACTCCTGGAACTTGATGGTGAAGCGGCGTTCGCGGGTGGGCTCGTCGCAGGTCAGCACGATGTTGGGGGCTCCGCTCACCTCGCAGCGGTCCGCCTGTTCCCGTGACGACACCAGGTAGAGCTTGTAAAACTCGTACTCGGGCGTGGACCTGCCGGTGTCCAGCGGGGGGCAGATGAGGTCCAGCCGGTCCCCGATCTGAGGGTACAGAACGTAGCCCTTGTCGTCTTTGAACCTGGAAGGAACAGAAGGAGCGAGGTATTAGAAAAGAAAAGGAAGGCGTCAAGTCATTAATTAGTCTTTTGTTTCCTGCTAAAATAAACCAGTTCTGAGCCACCTGTGCCTGCTGCTGAATGAGCAACAGATGGATCCTTTAACCCTCCTATTTCCCCCTACTTCTTTTCTATTTTCTCTCCTTCACTGGGAACAGGTGCCGTCGCATAGAAGAACAAATACACTACACAATCTCACAAAATCCCCTGCTGAACCCATGAAGTGGTGGAGAAAAGAAGAAGTAGGAACATGTAACCACCAGTTGATCCACATTGGGGGAAAAAAGCCCAAATTAAAGTCAAATACATTTCATATATTAGAAAAGCATTCATTTTCCACTACCCCACCAAATCATCCTCAGTTATGGAAATGTTTAGTCTCAAAGCGTACAAGATCACTCTCTGAGTTGAAATGCCAAAGCCAATTTACTGCAAGCAAATGTGAAGTCTGGTAAACAAAAAGACTTGCAGTGTAAACTTGGATACAGACGGAACAGAAACTAATTTGTTTTTATCAGCACTCATATTTGGAGGTGAGAACTGAAGCATGTCCATCAAAGAAGAAACAGGCAGACGACTATCGCCACAGATCAGCAGAACGAATGCCAGATCTCAGGTAATTAGTTTGCTTATTAGCTGTTTTGATGTCTGCCATCCAAATCTGATATGAATAATGTGAAGTCTTGTTGTTTACTGATGGGTTTGACACCTGGTATCCATGGGAAACTGCAGCTGGAAGTGATAAACTCAACTAAAATATGGTTTATTATTATCATTTTAGAATTTGACCTTGGCTTTTAGTGAAGATATTTGACGTGACATGGTCCTAATGTTTCTGAATGGCATTCCTGGAGTGAACACTACAGCAGGTTTTGAGGAAATATTTCACATGACAATTTGAATACGTTCTGAAAAAGCTCAAATTGGTGAAAATCCTGTCAGAAGTCGACATGAAAAGTGTTTTTTTTGCAGTATAGAGGGCTTGTGGGCGCTCTGTAGCTACACAGCGTTCAGAGGTCCCTCCAGAGCAGAGGACATGAAACACAGCAGTCAGCGGAGGCATCAACTCAACAGATGACTCAAACTCTGTCATTCCCTCGCAGCACAGGGCCAGCTCTTGCTGAAAAGGGCAAATACTATGAGTTATCGACTTAACTCCTGAGGCCTGTGATGACTTTAATGCTACATGCTAGTGTGCACGGCTAAAAGTGGGAAATCAGAAAGCAATCTATGGAGAGCCACAGCGACTTTATCTCAGGTTGAAACAAATGTCACAACTGGCAGAAGGAATTAGGCCAAGTGTTTATAGTAGTAAGAGATAAAAAAGGAGTAGGAGATTTGCCGGATTTTCTCGACTGTTAGCGTTCCTCACAGAATGTTAAGAGACACTTTGATGTTCAAGTGGGAGGAAGCCAATGCCTGTAATGTTAAGAAGCCCGTTTTCAGTTACCCCTGACTCAGACGCCGCCTCTGTTTCCAACAAATCCACACTTGGGAGTCACAGCTCTCAAACCTGCTTAATTATGCTCTCTGTTCTGCTGTCAGACTTTGACCATTAAATAATAAACAACACGGGATCACAAAGCATGAACAAACCGACAATTGTGTTGGGAACTGTGCTGTTAAAAAGACTGGATAAATCTTACTAATGTCACATTAGCAACACATTACCCTTTCATTTGTCCAAACGGACCAAATCTGTGACAGTTGTCTTTCCCGTTTTCCCTTAAATCCATGCCAATTAACAACTTTCAGTATTATATAGTGGGGAAAGGCGCCTCACTAGATTTGCATCTGGGAAAATAATTGTCTTTGCTTCACGTTGGTTATACTTGCAAATAAAATAAAAGGGCCTTCGAAAGATGACATATTACCCTTCCATAAAGTTTAAGGACCTGCGAGAGGTCAGATTTATAGCTAAAGATGTCTCAATATCTGGACTTTCCGTGGGGGAATCAAGCTCCACCAACACTGGATCCTACATTTCCCATAATTCAACTTTAAAGCATTTTTGTCACTGCCTGCTAAGCGCCCACATCTGTTAAACCCCCAGTTTAAACACAGGCTTTCCATTAAAAACATTGAGGTCTCCGAGTCCAAACTGATATAGCTGATGACATCACTCTGACATCAGCAGGGTTATTATCTAAAGTCTTTAGAAATCTCCCTCCAGAGCCACAAGATATATTTCCCAGGCATTGTAGCACTAGCCATGAGAAGTAAATGTGTAACATTGCTAAAATAAATTGTTTCGCAAAAACATCATGTCATAAAGGAGAGTATCAGGTTATACAGGATGATATACTAGAGCTTTAGAGATTTAATGAGTTTCCTTTGTTGTACCTGCATCTCCCTGACCACATCCTCCCCCCCTCCCCGTTCCATGCGGGCTACCTGTTAGCGCTGCGAGCTAACAGCCTTAAAGCTGCTGGAAATGGAGATGTAAGATTTATCAGTTGGTGTGTTTGGCTGGCGGGGAACACCGAAGGGCGACTTTAGAAAGCTTTAGCTGAGGCGGGCCCAGAGGCCTGCTGGGAAGCCACTGTTCCACTTCTCATTACCCAGGTCACTCGGGGTTATCAGGCGATACTTAGACTGGAGAGCCAGGCACTCAGCTTCACTCAACACGTACACACAGACATCTTTCACCTTCCTGTGGGCTTCAGACAGGCGAGCACACGCACCCACACCATTTATAGAGTATGAACTGTAAACATGGTGGGGGTTCCTGAGGCGTCTGCGGCAAAGCCTAAACAGAAAAATCTATTCAAAACACACACACACACACTGGCCCAAACAAATGCCCTTCTGCTAAACACAAAAGGTTTTCCCAAACACATCCACCCACATCCAAACACACAGGTTTAGCTTTTCCCTAAACATGCACGCTAAAACCCACTTACACACATTCTTATAAAAACAAGCACCTTGTTGCTTCCTGCGTGACGCATTCTGTGAGTGTATCTCACGGTAGCCTGAGTCACAGTCGAGCTGCACTGCAGAATGGCAGAGCAAACACACAGAGGATCGTACGAGAGTGAAGGTAAATGCCATGGGGCAGGTGCAGTGCTCCAAACAGAAAGAAAGAAACAAGTGAGAGGGAAGGGAAGGGGAGGGGAGTGGAGTTGAAAGAAAAATATTGAACATGTCAGGCAAAGTATGTAGCAACAACAAAGAAATGTGGTGAACAAGCAGAAACGGAGACAAAACACTCGACGGGAGGAAGAGACCTTAAAATATCCCATGGAAGAAAAGGCAAGGGGAGCAGAAGAAAGAGAGGCGCATTCCTACCACAGTACTCCTTTTCTGATTGGCTCCCGTTTCAGGGTGTCAGATTAGTTAACCCAGTTGAACCTAGTGTGTGGCTAAATGTGTGCTATGATAAACACTAGCAGGATGGCATAGGGACACCAACTGAATCATGAGGTAGAGTCAGACAAGTCTCTTCCCCTCTGCTCTGCCTAACCTTTTTGTCTGTGTCAAATCCACCTTACAAGTCGGGTGTGTTGGTTTCAGATCCCGGAGCAGAAGGGCGAGAGAGAAGAGGGGAGAGGGGACTTATAAACAACTTTATAGAGTTCAACTGTGACCGCATCTGAATAAATCATCCGGTTAAGACACGGCCCTGAGCCATGTTACGTTTCTCTCTTCTTCTTTGGGCCACATTCTGCTCCGACACTCTCCCTGTCTCTCTCTGAGTGGCTGCTTTTTCCCTCCCTCATCTCTTCTCCTGGCTGTCCACTCTCTCTCTCTCTCTCTCTCTCCCCCCACTCTCCCCCTTCCACTTTTTCTCAGCCGTTAACAATAGAGCCATTCATGTGGCCACACTTTGAAACATGGCGTTGGGGGTTGGAGGGGGCCAGAGGTGACACCGAGGGGGGGAGAAAGAGGAGAAAGAGGAGGAGATGGAAGGGGGGGAGTTTACCTCTCTTTTCTTCTCCGCAGCTCTTTTATGAGGGCAGAAACATCATTTTCGCGACCCCCGAGCTGTGCTGAGAAGACTCGAGTGTCAGTCTGCGTGACCCCCCCTGACCTCTCACACCTCCTGCTTCTCACCCTCCACCCTTTAATGCTAATTATACCCGTTAACACAACTAAGAGTGTGCAATAGATATTTCATTTCCTGAAAAACAAACACATGCAAGACATTTTTAGAGCCTGAAATGGCGTCCTGGTTGCTGTGTGTGTTTTTTCTTGCGACCTCTACGTGTGTTTCTGTCTTTTTCTCTCGTCCATCTGCGTGTCGTCTGCAGTTGTACCTGCTCTGAGTGGCGTATTGGACGGCTTGAACATTTCCCAGATTCCACAGCGGCAACCCGAGCCGTGTCCGGGGGGCCGAAGCCGGGCACACAGGTGCAGCCAGCGGGAGGAGGGGAGGGGGGGGGGGACAAGGGAGGGTGTGTGTATGTGTGCCAGTGTATGTCCGCGCGAACATGAGAATATGACGGGGAGGCGGGGTGAGGGATGGCGAGACTAGGGCGAGTCTGTGAGATGAAAAACATACAGAGTTGGAGAGATATTGATATATATATATATATATATATATATATACACACATCTTCAAAATTATTATTATTATTATTACTGGCTGCTGTCCCTTAGTGACACAATTCAACTTAAATCTGTAAATAATTGTGCAATATATACTTTCACTTGGAATACTATTGGCTGCTATCACACTATTCTATACATGCTACACTTATTTTTCTAAATACTGTTACTCAAACTGTGTATTTTTTTAATTGTAATTTCAATTGTTATCTTCAATAACTCTTACATGCTTCTTAATTCATATTAAGCTATTTAGGCTGTTTGGCTTTTGCTGTAACAATGTAAATGTCCCCTCTGTGGGACTAATCATCTGATTCTGATTCTAAGAATGAGGCAGGAGACAATAGAGAGAGGTGACATTGGAAGTGATCAAAACAAACACATGAGGACAAAGAGAGAGCAAAGAAGAACA